AGGCCACTGCTGGGCCTAGAACATTGCATGATGACCCTTCTAGCACATTATCCTCAGCACTACAAGGATTTGGTCACAGGTTTACCTCTTACCTTAGACACTGAGGAAACTCACAGTCTCTCCCCAGGGCCCAGCACATATTAACAACCGTAGTAGTTTGAGAGATGAATAAGTGAACAAATCAGAACATGAGAGTCTTTGTGTCATGTTTGAGTCCTAAAGTCACTCGTCACATCATCGTGTGGAGGTGTCTCCAGGTCTACCGACATGACTATTATTTTCCTTGTTGCTTAGGAAAAATGTTTTACATTCTTATTAATTAAAATTTGAATAATTAATGCTATTTATTTTCTGAACTTCTTTCCATTTTTTGTCTTTTAGGAGGTCATGAATCAATTAATTCATCAAGAATAATGTGATTTGTGGTCACCTCAGAAAATAAAAACCTAAGTTATTGATAATTAGATGATGTTGAACAGCAGTGTTTGAACACTGAAGACCGTCAGCTGTTTGAGAGAACTGTGCTTTAGACTTAAAAAAATGGATATATAATTTGCATGCCATAAAAGTCATGCTTTAGAAGTGTACTACTTGGTGGCCTTTAGGGTATTCATAAAGTTGTGCAATCATTACCACTGTCTAATTTGAGAACCTTCCATCAACCCCCCCAAAATCCTCATACTCTTGAACCCAGGAGGCAGAGGTTGCAGTGAGCCGAGATCATGCCAGTGCAGTCCAGCCTGGGTGACAGAGCGAAACTCTCTCTCTCAAAAAAAGAAATCCTCATACTCCTTAGCAAGCACTCCCCATTTCTTCCTCCCCTAGCCCCTGGCAATCACTAATGTACTTTCCGTCTCCATGGATTTGCCTATTCTGTTCATTTCACATGAATGTAAATAGAGTCATACACGGTTGGCCTTTCGCAACTGGCTTCTTTCACTCAGCATAATTTGTTTTGTTTTGTTTTGTTGAGACAGAGTGCTCAGGCAATCTTGGCTCATTGTAACCTTCACCTCCCAGGTTCAAGAGATTCTGGTGCTCCAGCCTCCCAAGTAGCTGGGATTACAGGCATGCACCACCATGCCTGGCTAATTTTTGCATTTTCAGTAGAGATGGGGTTTCACTATGTTGGCCAGGCTGGTCTCAAACTCCTGCTTTGGCCTCCCAAAGTACTGGTATGACAGGCTTGAGCTACCACATCCACCTGTAGCATAATGTTTTTCAGGCTCATCCACATTGTAGTATGTATCATACCAAATTTGTTTTCATTACTCTGTAATATTCCATTGTATGAATACACAGGTTGAATAGCCTTTATTCAAAATGTTTGGGACCAGAAATGTTTCAAATTTTGGATTTTTAAAAAATTTGGGAATATTTGCATTATACTTACTGGTTGAGCATCCCAAATCCAAAAGTCCAAAATTCTAAATGTTCCAATCAACATTTCCTTTGAGCATCATGTCAGTGCTCAAAAAGCTTCAGATTTTATATTTCAGATTATCAGATTTGGAATACTCAACCTGTACTACATTTTATTTATCCATTTATCTGATGATAGACATTTGGGTTGTTTCTACTTGCTGGATATTGTAAATAATGCTGCTATGAATATTCATGTTCAAGCTTTTGCATGGACATAACGTTTTCAGTTCTTGTGAAAGAGTAGAAGTGCTGGTCAATTTTATTCATAGGATTGTATAGTAATTCCATGTTTGACTTTTGAGGCACTGCCATACTTTTTCCAGCATGTAAGTGGCTGCACCATTTTACATTATCAGTAGCAATGTATGAGGTTCTGATTTTTCCTTGTCTATACTTATTATTGTCTATATGTCTGATTATAGCCATCCTGGTGGATGTGAAATGGTAGCCCATTGTAATTTTGGTTTGCATTTTCCCAATGATTGTGTTGAACATTGTTTCATGTGCTTATTGGCCATTTGCATTATTTATTGATTTAATTTATTTTTTGAGATAGGGACTTGTTCTGTTGCCTAGATTGGAGTACAGTGGCTCAGTCTCAGCCCACTGCAGCCTCAAATTCCTGAGCCCAAGTCATCATTCTACCTCAGCCTCCCAAGTAGTGGGAACTACTGGCACAAGCCACCATGCCCAGCTAATTTTTTTTCTTTTAGTAAAGATGAGGTCTCGCTATGTTGCTCAGGCTGATCTCAAACTCCTGGCCTCAAGGGTTCCTCCCTCAGCCTCCCAAAGTAATGGGATTACAGATATGAGCCACTATGCCCCGCCCAATTTGTATATTTCCTTTGTAGAAATGTCTGTTCAAATCTTTTTCAATTGGATTATCTTTTTTTTTTTTGCCTTGCCTTTGTCAGGCTAGCATTGTTTTTTTCTATCATTAAGCTGTCATTGTTCTTTATATATTTTCGATACTAGGCCACTGTCTAGTAGATAATGTACAAATATTTTCTCCCATTCCGTGATGGGAATCATCTTCTTGATGATTATAAATTACAGGATTTGATTTTCCAAGTTCAAGCTAGTTTATATTTGTCAAATTTACTCATGCTATAATGTGTGGTTTGGTTTATCATATTTTGTGTTGGATTTTTACTTAGGTACTAATGTGTTTTTCTCTCTTATTTTAAAGGTATCCATTTATCATATCACATAATGAGATCCAGACATGGATGGGCTTAGATGCCCTTTCTCTGAAGTTCTCTGGGCTCTTCCACTTTCCAGGAACACACTTTTTTTTTCTTTCCTTTTTTTTTTTTTTTTTCCAGCTTCAGACTGTTTGTTGTCAAATAGAAGTACTATCACTCAGGTCTACCCATGAACCACCTGGACACTAAGCATGGCTGGCAAGTAGATCCCAGGGCTGAGCCAGTACAGCTGGCACGAGGCATTGATGATCAGGGTAACACCACCCAGTAGAGAGGCAGTAAAGGGTGGTGTCACTGATGCAGGCTTGCTGAGGTCACCAGCATCTTCAGCTTCTGTGAAGGGGCTGGCGGGCAGGCATGCTGCACCTCTGCAGGCTGCCCTGAGTTTGCCCAGGGTGGCAGTGGTGGGAAGTGCCAGCCAGCACAGAATGAGGGGAACCCAGGTAGCAATTAAGTGGGGATAAATAGCCATTACCAAGGAGGCCTGACAACTGCAGGAGACCGCAGTCTATTCACAAGCAACTGCTTATTTTCCCATTGATCCTTGGCGGGATAGGGCCTTGCCTTCTGCAGCGCCCCAAATAACAGGCTCGCAAAGCCCAGTGCTAAGAGGTGGCATCTGAGAAGAATCCGCTCAGGTCTTCCTGTCTGTTTCATCTTAAGGCCTGCCAGGAGAAGAGATAATTACGGGTCTGAGATTTTGTTCCATCATAGACAATGGAGGGATCAACACATGCCTCTCTGAAATCAGATTAAAAAATTTTTTAAAAGGTTTCAGCTCAGGAAGATACCAGCATTTCCCACAGGTTTCAGTTGGATGAAAAAGGAGAGATTGAGAAAAAAGAAGGAAAGGAAGGAAGGGAGGGAGGGAGGGAGGGAGGGAGGGAGGAAAGGAAACTTGATGATTCCAAAAACAGAAATCAACATGGAGTGTGCTAAAGAGACTTTGCTTTCCTATTGTCCCGTCTCTTTCCCCCAGAATATCTTTCCCTTGGCTTGTCACCCAACCCGAAAGGCACCCATTCAGGACTTATTCCATTTGGAGCCAAGAATCCCTAGTGAGCCGGGCGCGGTGGCTCACGCCTGTAATCCCAGCACTTTGGGAGGCCGAGGCGGGCGGATCACAAGGTCAGGAGATCGAGACCACGGTGAAACCCCGTCTCTACTAAAAATACAAAAAATTAGCCGGGCGCGGTTGTGGGCGCCTGTAGTCCCAGCTACTCGGGAGGCTGAGGCAGGAGAATGGCGTGAACCTGGGAGGCGGAGCTTGCAGTGAGCCGAGATCGCGCCACTGCACACCAGCCTGGGCTGGGCGACAGAGCGAGACTCCGTCTCAAAAAAAAAAAAAAAACAAAAAAAAAAACAAGAATCCCTAGTGAAGCCCAAGCTCTCCAGGGAGGTTTCCCTGGATGTTAGACCCTCTGCTGGACCTGCGTTTATCCTTCAAGGTCACTGTAAGGCATGGTTTGGGTCTCTTTAGGGAGGCGGTACAGCCTAGAGTTAAACGCACAGGGTTCAGAATTAAATTTCTACATCTGACTAGAGTCCTGTATTCACTAGTGTTGACCTTGCACAGGCTACGTGACCCATGCCCTTATCTGAAAAATAAGCAGAGCAGTGCCTTTCCTCTAAGGCTAGTCCCTGGGATCTGATGACGTAATACATGGAAAGGCACTTAGTTCATAGCAGGGACCTGTACATGTTAGCTGGAATTTTCCCCACCCCAATGAGGGGAGTAACCAGTCCATCGATGAGGACTGAGCGTACAGAAGGGGTTGCAAACTCACATGGCTTCAGGGGCCCAGTGAGTGATGATGATGGAGACTAGTTAAGCAGGCAGGATGTCACTTTATCTTTCTTTCTTTTTTTTTTTTTTTGAGACGGACTCTCGCTCTGTCCCCCAGGCTGGAGTGCAGTGGTGCGATCTCGGCTCACTGCCAACTTTGCCTCCCGGGTTCAAGCGATTCTTCTGCCTCAGCCTCCAGAGTAGCTGGGACTACACGCATGCACCACCACACCCAGTTAATTTTTGTATTTTTAGTAGAGACGGGGTTTCACCATGTTGGCCAGGATGGTCTCAATCTCTTGACCTCACGATCCGCCTGCCTCTGCCTCCCAAAGTGCTGGGATTACAGGAGTGAGCCACCAGATCTGGCCAGGGTGTCACTTTTTCAACAACCACAATACTTTTTACAGCAGTGTTATGGAATTTGTTGCCACTGTAAATGACTCCCTATTGAAATTAGAGGCATTTACCACTCCCCCCAAATCTAAGTCAGAAATGTTTATATTTCTTTGGTTTGGTTTTGTTTCTACAATAAGAATGCATACTTTTATAATAATTTTTTAAAAACCAATGAAGATTTAGGCTTGCTTCCACAGCACATATGCTAAAAATTAGAACAATACAGAGAAACTTAGCATGGCCTCTGCACCAGGATGGCATGCAAATTCCTGGATCATTCCATTAAAAAACAAATAAATAAAGATTTGGGGTAATGAGAGAGAGAGAAGGGGAAATTGAGATGAATAAAGCCTAGTTTAAGCCAGAAAGGAAAAGTCCTTTTTCTTTTCTTTTTTTTCTTTTCTTTCCCTCCCTCCCTCTCTCCCTCCCTCCCTCCCTCCCTCCCTCTCTCTCTGTCTCTCTGTTTGTTTCTTTTTTTTTTTTTGAGACAGGGTCTCACTCTGTCACCCAGGCTGGAGTGCAGTGGCACCATCTCGGCTCACTGCAGCCTTGACTCCCTGGGCTTAGGAGATACTCCCACCTCAGCCTCTTGAGTAGCTGGGACTACAGACTCAAGCCGCAATGTCCAGGGAATTTTTGTACTTTTTGTAGAGACATCGTTTTAACATGTTGCCCAGACTGATCTCAAACTCCTGGGCTCAGGAAATCCATCTGCCTTGGCCTCCCAAAGTTCTGGAATTATAGGCATGAGTCACCATGCCCGGCCAGAAAAGTCCTTTCATATTAAATGATTTTTTTCAACTTTATTGAGGCATAATTGAAAAATAAATATTGTGTATATTTTAGGTGTACGATGTGATGTTTTTATATATGTATACATTGTGAAATGATCACCATAATCAAGCTAATGAGCATATCCATCACCACTCATATTTACTTTTTTGTTGTTTTTGGTGGTAAGAACACACCAAGTCTTTTGTGACAGTTTTAAGAGTGAAAGGAGTGAGTGAGGTGCTGTCTCCTGTCTGTAATCCCAGCACTTTGAGAGGCCAAGGTGGATGGATCACTGGAGCTTAGGAGTCAAGACCAGCCTGGCCAACATATTGAGTGTCCCTCTCTACAAAAAAAACAAAAACAAAAACAAAATTAGCTGGGCATTGTGGTATGTGTGTGTGGTCCCGGTTACTTGGGAAGCTGAAGTGGGAGAATCCCTTGAGCCCTGGAGGTCGAGGCTGCAGCTACTGCATTCCAGCCTGAACAACAGCGTGAGACCCTATCTCAAAAAAAAAAAAAAAAAAGAAAAGAAAACAGTGGAAGGAGTTCGCTGGGTGTGGTGGTTCACACCTGTAATCCCAGCACTTTGGGAGGCCGAGGCGGGCAGATCAATAGGTCAAGAGATCAAGACCATCCTGGCCAACATGGTGAAACCCTGTCTCTACCAAAAATACAAAACAATTAGTCGGGCGTGGTGGCGGGTGCCTATAGTTCCAGCTACTCTGGAGGCTGAGGCAGGAGAATCGCTTGAACCCGGGAGTCTGAGGTTCCACCAGCCTGGGTAACAGAGTAAGACTCTGTCTCTTAATTAAAAAATAAATAAATAAATAAATAAATAGTAGAAGGAGTCACGGGACCCGAGTCTGCCCACAATGGCTATCCCTAGGTCTGAGAAGGCTGTGAGGAGCTTCAACAGGGATGGCTCACACAGAAGCTGTGGCTCTGGGCCTGGCAAAGTTCTGATCCGTAGAACAAGGACTCAGAGAGGCCGTGAGGTGGTGCCAGGTTAGATGTGGAATCACAAAAACCAGGTCCCAGTACCATCCTCTGAACTTGACTAGCTCTGGGTTCTTCAGAAATCCTCCAAACTTGTTTGAATCTCACCTTCTTTGTCCCCAGGATGAGGATCCAGGCAGATACCTCGCAGGGTGGTTGGGAATATTAAAGGGATTATATGTGTGAAAATCATCTGTAGGTTGTTAAACTCTGTGTAAGTGTACATTACAAAAGAGCTGAATTTGTCATCTGAATGTCTAGTCCTCACTTCCTCACTTGCCAATCTAAGCATCAGTTATCTCCTATAAAAAAGGGATTTAGAAACCTTCCTCCTCTACCTTAGCAGGTTGTTTGGGGGTGATGTCCAGTCTACTCAGTGTACTTGGGAGTGCATTGGTTGTGGAACAGGTAAAATGTAACAAGAATAAATGACTTTTATTTGTATTATTTCTATCAGAATTGCTGCACTATCTAGCACAATGCCTTGCCCCAACAGCTATTTGGTGAATTAAAATGATTCTGATCAATTTCATCCTATCACTCTCTGGTAAGTAACTATGGTGGTTTCTTATTGGCTGCAGGATGCAACACAAGCTCCTCTTCAATCTTCATACCTCTTTCTAATTTGGTCCCACCCATGTAAAAATAAATAAATAAAATTTGAAGGCCAGGTGCAGTGGCTCACGCCTACAATCCCAGCACTTTGGGAGGCCGAGGTGCGTGGATCACCTGAGACCAGCCTGATCAACATGGTGAAATTCTGTCTCTACTAAAAATATAAAAATCAGTCAGGTGTGATGGCACACGCCTGTAATCCCAGCTACTTTGGAGGCTGAGGCAGGAGAATTGCTTGAACCCGGGAGGCAGAGGTTGCAGGGAGCCGAGATCACGCCATTGCACTCCAGCCTGGGCAACACAGCAAGACTCCGTCTCAACAAACAAACAAACAAAAAAACAACCAACCAACCAACCAAACAAAAAAACCTTGATTGAGGTATAGTTATGTACAGGAGAGGGACCCGTTTTGGTAGTCAGTTGGCTTTGTTTTGGTACTTATAAAGCCATTTACCCACCACCCAGTCAAGACGTAGAACACTTCCTTCACCTCACAGAGCTCCCTCCTGCCCTTTTGTGGTGACTGCTCACCCAGCTCATGGCATGACCTTATTTGTGTCACCATAGATCAGTTTTGCTTGCTATAGAACTTTATATAAATGAAATACACAGTGTAGGCTTTTTGTCTGGCTTCTTTCACTCAGCATGATAATTGTGAGATTAATCTGTGTTATCGCATGTTATCAATAATTCATTTTTTTTTCTTGTTGAGTAATATTCTACCGTGTAGATGTACTTCAGATTATTTATCTAGTCCCCCATTGATGGACCTTTGGTTGATTTCCAGTTTTCGGCTATTATGAATAAAGCTACTGTTCTAGTCTGTTTTTGCTTTCTATAATATTAGAATTCTAGACTGGGTAACTTGTAAAGAGCAGAAGTTTATTTCTCAGGGTTCTGGAGGCTAGAAAGTCCATGATCAAGGCATCAGCATCTGGTGAGGGCTGCTCTCTGCTTCCAAGATGGAGCCTTGAACGCTGCATCTTCCAGAGGGGAGGAACAATGTGTCCTCACATGGTAACGAGTGGAAGGGAACAAAAGGGTCTAATTTCCTCCATCAAGCCCATTTATAACAGCATCAATCCATTCATGAAACCAGAGCTCTCCTGGTCTAAATACCTCCCCAAAGGCGCTACCTCTCAGCACTGTTGCATTAGGGATTAAGTTTCCAAAACACGGCCAGGCATGGTGGCTTGCGCCTGTAATCCTAGCACTTTGGGGGGCCTAGGCAGGAGGATGGCTTGAGCCCAGGAACTCAAGACCAGCCCGGGCAATATAGTGAGAACCTATCTTTACAAAAAATAAACAACCAGCCAGGCATCGTGGTGTGCGCTTGTGGTCTCAGCTACTCAGGAGCCTGAGGCAGGAAGGTTGCTTGAGCTCCGGAGGTGAAGGCTACACTGAACCATGATCGCACCACTGCACTCCAGCCTGGGCAACAGAGCAAGACCCTGTCTTTAAAAAATAATAATAAAATAAGTTTCCAATACATGAATTTTAGAGGGACACATTCAGAACATGGCAGCTACTATTATATAAACATTTATATGGAAGCGATTTTGTAGACATCTGCTGCTACCTGGAAGTGGAATTTGCTGGATCGTAATATAGGTGTTTTTCCCTTTTTTTTTTTTTTTTTTTTTTTGAGACAGAATCTCGCTCTGTCGCCCAGGCTGGAGTGCAGCGGCACGATATCGGCCCACTGCAACCTCTGCCTCCTGGATTCGAGCAATTCTCTACGAGCAATTCTCTGCCTCAGCCTCCAGACTAGCTGGGATGACAGGCACCTGCTACCATGCCCTGCTAATTTTTGCATTTTTAGTAGAGAAGGGGTTTCACCATTTTGGCCAGGCTGTTCTTGAACTCCTGACCTCATGATCCACCCACCTCGGCCTCCCAAAGTCCTGGGATTCCAGGCATGAGCCACAGCGCCCAGCCGTGTCATTTTTGTATGAAACTTAAAATCGGTGTTCAAAGGTGGTTGTACCATTTTACCCTCCCATGATCTGTGTATGAAGTTCTCATTGTTCCACATCCTTGTCAACTATTGCAATTATCAGTCTTTTAACACTTAGCTATTATTGTCGTTTTCATATGGATTTCCTTGATGACTCATGATGTTGAACATAACTTCATGTGCTTATGAGCCATTTGCATATCTTTTTTGGTAGTTTCTGTTCAGAATTTTAAACATTTAAAAAACTGTGTTGGGGGCTGGGCATGTTGGCACACACCTGTAATCCCAGCACTTTGGGAGGGATTCTTGAGACATTCTCCGAACCTTTTTGAATCTCACTTTCTTTGTCTCCAAGATGAGGATACAAGCAGAAACCTCACGGAATCGTTGGGAATATTAAAGGGATTATATGCGTGGAAATCACACATATAATTTCCATACAAGCTGAAGTGATCCTGTGGCCTCCACAGCTACTTGGGAGGCTGAGGTGGGAGGATCCCTTGAGCCCTGGAGGTTGAGGCTACAGCTACTGCACTGCAGCCTGAGCTGATCACTTGCAAGGCGAGAAGATCACTTGAGCTCAGGAGTTCAAAAACAGCCTGGGCGACATAGCAAGACCTCATCTTAAAAAAAAAAAAAAAGAGTTGGTTTTCTTATTATTAATTTGTATGAATTATTGTTATTAATTAATTTACTTATTTATTTTTGAGACAGAGTTTTGTTCTTGTCACCCAGTCTGGAGTGCAATGGTGCAGTCTTTGCTCACTACAACCTCTGCCTCCTAGGTTTAAGCAACTTACCTGCCTCAGCCTCCCAAGTACCTGGGATTACAGATGCCCACCACCACACCTGGGTAATTTTTGTATTTTAAGTAGAGACAGAGTTTCACCATGTTGGTCAGGCTGGTCTCAAAATCCTGACCTCAGGTGATCCTCCCGCCTCAGCCT